GAAAGTTTACACAGGGTAGCTGAAGACAGTAGCATTACAGAGAATACGCGCACCCGAGCGAGACTTGCCTCTTGGATCATGAGAGACGGGCGTGTTTTTTTCATGGTCGAATATGTTTTGAGGGCACTTGACACCATCGCGTCGCTTTCTCTGACTTTCCAAAATTCCGATAGTCTGGCAGTCGATGCTATGGAAAGTGGTCGCGCCGCGCAACGCAAGTTGATAGATGAGTCCGTAACTGATTCCGTAAGTAATCGTGTGGTAAAGGAGTTGACAAGGTACAGAAGTGTAGTGTACCTCTTTGACGGCAAACACCAAAAACGGTTGGATAGAGAGTTTTTGAAGAAATACTATTCGCACTCGGAGGATAGCTCACCTGAAGCTGAGACGAGTCAACAATCGAAAAACTGGCAGCTGATATACCTGCCAACGCATTTCAAAGATTACAAGCCGAGAAACGATGATGATTTAACAGATGAAGAAAAAGCACTGAGATCTGCGCTGATATCGCAAAAGAGCTTCAGGTTGTTGGAAGAAAGAACAAACGATGATGACTTTTTTGAAAATGTCGACCCGGAGTCAGAAAGTTTATATTTTGGACAGGAGGATTCCCCCGACATGGTGCACGAGTCGGGGCTCAATTTTGGCCTAGGGTCAAGCTATCGCAGCTTCTTATCGATACTTGGTGACAAGAGCGTATGGGATGAGGCTCAAGCAATGTTAACTGGCACATATGCTTCCATCGGCAACAGGATGCAAAGTTCATCTATTCCCGATTATATGTTTGTTGCGGTTGACCGCCACATAATTCTCGATATCATAGACTTTGAAGGACAATTTCCAACAGCATGGGAAAAATACGCACCTCCGACTGCTACTTTCGAAAATAGAGGCTTTGCACACTACATTGGTTTTGGCGACGTATACGACATTGCCACGCGAAACAAAATGTTCACTGAGTCAATAGGATGGTTGGAACACTACTGTGTGTCGCCCGGGCTCAAAGAACCGCTATATACTTTCTACTCGTTTTTGCACAACAGAGTTCATGATCTGCGGGAATGGCCCCAGAATCTACGAGAAGATAAAACTTCTGGAAGGCTTTATGAGAAG